TTGTTTTTTTCTTTGTTTCTTTCCTTGTTTTCACTGTGTTTTCATCTGGTAACACCCCTCCTCGATGAGGGACAAAATTATTATGTTAGAGTGAAATCCGCGCTAGTATAGCTGATAAAGTTTTTTATCGTTATCGTTATATATCTTTACTCTGTCGAACTTTATACCATCGGATTGTCCCCTAAAAATAGCATAGCTTCGAAATAACGTATGCGCGTCCAGAAATAACGCGCACCTTATGTAACATATCAACGAATTTTTATATATATAGTAATAATCAGATTTGAAATTGACCCTTTATTTCACATGTTTATATTATGCAAATGCCCGTTATTTCGAGAATTTACGATAGATTCTTAATATATGTACCTGGGAAACTTCGATGATAAAAAAGAAGCCAATAAATCTTAAAAAAGCCTGAATATAAGGTATATATTAGTATAAAAAGCAAATACTTTAAGCATTAAACGATAGAAATTTTGATAGTAAATAAAAAAAGGGGGATTTTTCCGTGTCCCTTATGACGATTGAATTACTGAATTAGGGATAGAAAAAAACGAATGATCAATCAAACTGTATATCAAAAAAATTTTGATAGATCGACATCTGGATTACTGGATTATGCATAAAATGCATCGTGTCACCTTAACTGTAATCAAAAATTTTACCGGTAATTAATAAAATTTTTTACTATAATATTGATGATGTTTCGTTATTTAAAAAGTGTGAATTCCTTTCGGCCCTTAATTCCGTATGTTTTAAAAACGCGTAAGTAATAAACATTTAATCACATATATCTAATAGTTTATGATTTTATTGTATAAATAATTAATCGTTTTTCATATTTAGCTTCATTGACTATTACGAGTAGGTCCTTGGCTAGTGTTGCTAATAATTCACAAAATAGCAATGGGAAAGAAGGTGAGATATAATTAATGGGTTAATATGATTGCGATAGTAACGTTTGGAACATGAATTTTTCGAATGCAGTAAAAAAAAAAGAATATTTAAAGTCAGACGTTTTATTGATAGAAGATTGTTAATTCTTTAATCTATTGATTAGGATTCGGAACCAAAGCATGGAGAAATACCTTACTTATTTGTCTCGCAGGATTCGCCTGGTATCATCTTGATCGCTATCTTACAAAAAATGGGGAGGTATGCTAAAATTAAATATATTCTTGGGAAGTTTAAATTTCTAATTTTAATTTTATTGCATCACTTTTGTTCTTACGATTTAGGTGAAACATCCGATCACAGAGGTTTGTGCATCTTCTTATGGAAGAATGATAAATGTTAGCATTTAATGAATTTCTATCGTAACAATTCAATATTATTGTAAATTACGTAGATTATCGAATCTCTTATGACTCCAGATTCAGAATGGAAACGGATTAATTCAGTTAATAGAAAAACAGCAAATATTTTAGCAAATGACAGGTAAACAAATTCTTTGTTAAATAAATACATATTATAAATGGAATAGCATCCAATATTATCTCATAGAATACACGTTAATCATATAATTTTTCAACAAATACAGACTCTTGTTTGGAGAGGCTAAACGGCCTCCAATTCATAGACTGATGCATCCAGAGTAATTATATTTCAATTCGAGTTTTTTTGGCCTATAGAATAGAATTAATACTTTTATCTCAATAATAGATGCTTTGAAAGAACTAGTCCGTTTCTAATTGAGCCTGGAACTGATGTTGATTTATCAGATTTAGTAGTTAAGAATGATTACGACTGATTTTCACAAATTTGCGCCATATTGTCTCTGAATATTACAGCTTGCGTGATGTTTCTTTAAAGTTAAATGAAAATCGAATAATAAAATCGAGCAATAGAATATCTGATGACGTGAAAGGGATAAAGGGTAAAATTTATAAATCACCTACACATATTTCAATGTATCTCTTGTTGAAGGATTTCATGATAGAATGTAAGATATTCAGGGCATATAATAATTCTCGGATGCTATATATGTTGCCCTCAAAATGATAGTATCATGTCTGAATAAATACTATTAAAAATACATAAAATATTGAACTTTTTACACTATATAAAGGTTTACATGTTTAATAATTTTATTTTATAGTATGAATTTTATTGAATATAGCTTCTAAAAATTATTTTTCAAATTTTTAAATGTTTTTTTTTTTTTTGTGGAGAAATCAAAATTTTAAATTTCTATAAGTTCTTATAAAAATTTAAATTTCTCAATCAAAACATCTATATAAAAAAATTGAAAATCATTAAAATATAAATTTCTATAGTGTAGTATTTATCCAAACGTGATGCATAGTGTTGACCGATGACTAGTGTTACAAATCGGACCAAAAATGCAATCGATTAGTTGGCCAAAAATTCTTTTAAAAATCGATTATAGCCAACTAATCGAAGTATGATGCCATATAAAACAACTAGTCGATTAGTCAACTAATCGATTAACTAACTAGTAGGGATGGTAAAAAATCATTTTTCACCGATTTAAATCATGCGATGATTATACTCCAGATATGCTGAAGTTTATATTCGGATCATGATTTAAATCGGTGAAAAATGATTTTTTACCATTCCTACTAACTAGTCGATTTATCAAAACAGCGATAATGTGTGACACGTGCTTATTCTCTTCCATGATGCATATATGAGATAATTTTTTTCCCAAACTGATAAGTTTAGTGATTTGACCCGGGTGGATGTCACCCGCGGGCGGGTGACCCATGGGTGACCTGTGAGTTGGCCCACGAGTTAGCTCATAGTTTTGCTGTATATTAGTTTCCGAAGATAAATCAGCCGGAATTGTTATCATATCCATACTTTGCTTGAAGCTATTATCATAATTTCTGGGGCACCTGATAAAATGATTTTTTTGCCGATTCAATAAGTTTGTGATTTCGGCATAATTGATTCAATAAATTGATATATCGATGTAAATATAATTTGAATACAAAAACATGATGCTTTCAAAACATCTCCGCTGGGTCAGTCCGAAAAATGATATGGATGTATTCATCACCTTAAAACAATGTATTATTTTTATATTTTTTAATAATTAACTTGGGTGGCAACTTTTTTAAACTGACCCGTTTCTACCCGGGTGGCATATCTCAGTATTTTTTATATTGATACTAGTGTTTGTAGTCGATCCTTATTTATCGACTTGACTAAGTCGATATTTAAAATTCGGCTTAGCCGGCTAAGT